GTGTGTATATATGTATGTGTGTGTGTGTGTGTATGTGTGTGGATATATGGGTATATGTGTGTATATATATATATATGTGTGTGTGTATATATATATAGGTATATATATATATATATATATATATATGTGTGTGTATGTATGTATATATATATATGTATGTGTATGTGTATAAGTATGTATGTATGTATGAATGTATACATGGGGCATATGTATGCGTGTATATGTATGTGAAAAGTGTGTGTATATGAATATAGATGAATATGTGTATGTGTGGATATGTGAATATATTTTAGGTTTTTTTATATATATATATATATATGTGTGTGTTTTTGTGTATATATATATATATATATATATATATATATATATGTGTGTGTATATGTATATATATATGTATGTATATATATATATATATGTGTGTATGTGTATGTATGTGCATGTACACGTATGTCTGGGTGTGTGTGTGTACATGCCTAAGTGTATGTACCTACTTGTATATGTTTTTTTGTGTGTATTAGTATGTGTTTTTGAACATAGAAATATTTGGTCCTTGCGAAATGAGACAATCGTTATATTCATCTTCATATATTTATATTTGATTTAATTTTCCCAATTACGAAGCGGCCCTTTATGTAAACACATTTTATTTTCCTTCGTCCCATCCTCTCCCCAACTTTTTTTTTTTTTTTTTTTTTTTTTTCCCTTCCTATCGAATTGTCTGTGGTGTGTATATGTCACCACGAAATGTATCTTTATGTATTAGACATCCGTCGACTTTCTTTCTCTCCTCTTTTAAATCCACCTCACCCACATCTCCAAAAAAATTCTCTCTGTCACTCATCCTCATACTTACACTTTCTCTAAATTCTGTTTTGATTTCCGGAGTTGTTTTTTTCTGTTTTCATTTTGAATTTGTAGGTCTGATGATTTGGATCGTATTTACGATTCCAATGGAATAAATTATGACCATGGAATATTAGTGTTTAAGCCTTTTTTTATATATATATATATATATATATATATATATATATATATATATATGATTATTACTAATAATTTTTTTACTGTTATAAATATTAACGGATTGTACGGTGGTTACTTATTGTACACACACACACACACACACACACACACACATATATATATATATATATATATATATATATATATATATGTTCAGTGAGGGAGCAATTCTCATGCTGGTCCCGAACCCGAAATGAGGATTTAAGCACCGGCCTGGGGAGGGCCTTCGACATTTTTATCAATATTTACTTTTTTTCCTGTCTACGTTTAACTGACAACAACTATTCCCAATAATATATTTCCATCTCTACAAACATTCAAAAACTTTTTAAAAACTCAAACCCTCTTCAACGTCCAGTAATTTTGTTTTATACAAAATGTGTTGTTATTTGTTTAACTTCTGTTATTTTCATTCCTTATTCGTTTTGTTTTACGGTATATCAACCTCAGTGGTTTATTCAATGCCGATAAGATTTTTATTACTGATATTTTTTCCCAAAAATATATTGCTGATAATATTTTTCTACAAAAGTGTATTTCTGGTATTAAAACCTATTTTTACACTTTCATAGTGTTTGACCCCAGTTTGGGAGTTAGCTATTTGCCCATAGCTGGGATTCTAACAAGTGCTAGTACCCCGTGTCAGAATGGTCCTAGGGACACCAGCAATTAATAGGTGATTCCACGCTCCTCGAAACCTCCTGATCAGAGGCCTTGCTATTGGACGTAGTTTATCGTCTTACCCAGAACGACTTTCATTCCCGATTCTAATTCATATTCAATACATGCTTAAATTACGTAGTAGGGTAAATTTCATTAGTTATTTTTTGGATTTTATGAAGGATGCTTTTAACATTTTTTTTTCTTGTATTAATTCATGTTAATAACGTGTTTTTCACTGAAAATTTTTTTCAAGGTAATTTTTAACCGCAACGTTGTTTGTTTTTGTTTTTTTCTTTTAATCAATTCACTCAAAACAAGTTATGTGTCATGCGTGATACACGCTTCGGCGATCATGTATCTTTCGATACATGACTGACGAGGCAGATTTTTTCCCACAGTAGGTTGCCATTTCTTTCTTCGGTAGACAAGTTGGCATCCGATGCTATAGAACCCAGTCTGTCCTGATATTCACCCATAGCTGGGGGGGGGTGGAGAAGAGGAGGATTCATGACTTTCCAAAGGGTATTAGCCATCGCGCCTAAATTCATTAACACACAGTGGGTTACTGGGTGTGAATGAATGCAATAATAAATAAAAGAGAAATATTATTAAGGAGCGAGAACAATAAAAGCATAGGAATCGATAGATAGCGATTGACATTGCATTTAATTTTCTGGAGATCAAACTTGACTGGAAATCAAGAAGAGAGTTCCACGAGCTAGAAAAAAAGTTGTCAGCATAGAACCTACATCTAGCCATTTTAACTGTTAAATGATGTACAAAGACAATTATTCAAGATTGCTTGAGATGAAGGAACAGACTTAAAGCACCAATTTCAATATTGTTTCTTGGAATAGTTTATAGTTATGTGTCGTTTCTGTCGGATCCTTTTGGAGTAATTAATCCTTTATATACGGATTAGTTCATTGGAATATAATATTAGAGAAAGCAATGTACGATACAAGATGAGGATCTCGATTCAATATTATCAAAAGTTATCACCTTCAAAATAGTAGAAATGTTCTTACCAATAAAAATTATTCGTTAAAAATAGAGATGAAGTAACAATGATGAAAGCATCATCAGTGTTGGACTGGATGTCTCCTTGGAATTTTATGTTTAGAATTATCATTTCGTATAATATGCCTTTTCTAGTGAACAAAACGAGCCAATCGTTGCAATCTTCGGATGTTACAAAACGGCATTATAATTTATGAGATTTATGCAACTGACAGATTTCCACTAATGCGAAAATGGTCCAGCCGCTGCAATGTAGACAGTCCGTGAAATTGCAGAGGCAAATGACATTGAGGAATGGTTTGAGCTACAAACACGTCCCAAAAATCTGATTACGTGTGCTGTGATGAGGTCCAAACATCTGAAAACGTGATCGTCAGCACTTATTTATCTGTCATGTTGACTAGATTTTTTTTTTTTCTTCAATTAATAACCGGTTTTCACAGTTAACCCAGTGGAGTGAAAATTACAGATTTATCCAAAATCCAGGACCTTTTTAGAATGAAGTCTACGAGAATTGGAAATCAGGAAGAGAAAAGGGGATTTAAAGAATGCTTACGACATTTTGGTTTGCACTTTTCGGAATAACTTACCGTATTTGATGACATATAAGACGCACGGGTGTATAAGACGTACCCAAATTTTAGCAGGGAAAATCAAGAAAAAATAAGCAATTAGTAAAATTATTAGTAAATGGTACAGCCTATGCTCTATTTATGAGGTATTATTTTGGTTAAACAAGCCATAATTACAATTAAATGAAAATAATACGAAAAAAAGAATACGCGCCTATAAAAACTTTATTATATCCAAAGGTAAGAAAACAAAATAAAAATCAAGCAACTTTGGAAAGAGTCTGAAAACCATACCACGGGTGAACCTAAGCCTTCTGAATGAAATTGGGTAGATAGTAGGGGCCGTCGATAGCTGTGCTAGCACGAAGTCACAAGTCATCGTGGCCGAGGGCTTGATCCTGCTGGCCTTGTCCAAGTTATTGATCACGCTTGATAACGCGTTCTTTTCCACAAACTATAAGTAAGGTCTGTGCAGTATAAATCAGAAATGGGCTCTGTGGGTGTTGGACAAACACAAAATGCGCCTGAGCAAGTGTCTGCAATAGGGATTGGCTAGCCGCCCAAGTAGACGGGTATCCTGGAATACGGGTGGCAAGTTATTCATACAGCGAGAGATGACATGTATATACAATTCTTTTCTATGTTTTCGCCATAGTGTTGAATGCCTAGTAATCTGTAGTTAAGAAAACTCCGGGCTCTACTTGATTTTCATTCATACTTTTATTAATTTATTTCCTCATAAATGTTCTCAATGCACCTGATGACATTGAAGGTAGCCATGACAAGTTATCTCCCTGATTGCGCCCCCAGCCACTCTCCGTCGTCGTCACCGTCCTCTTCCACCCGTCCTGCTCCAGAGTCGTCTCCGATGGTTCAGGCACGCAGCTCGACGCCCGGAGGGAGGACTCATCCGCGATGTATTTCTCCCTCCTTCTCTTCCTGGCTGGCGAAAACGTGTCGGTGGGCAGCTGAGGACGTGGGCTAGCACAATCAAGAATGACCTAGCAGTACTATCGGGTCCACAAGTAGTTGGTCTTCGACGATGGAATCGCGATTGGCTCGCCATTTCGTGTGACCTGGGTCAGGATCGGCAAACGTGGGCAGCAATGGACCGTGATACTGTACTTGCTCGGGAGGAAGCCGGTTCAACCCGACCAGGGTGAAAACCGATACAAGTCAAATCCCTGGTTGTCATATAGAAAGTTTTGTGAGAGAAGAAATGAGTTTTGTGGGCAAAGATGTTGGAGTGTAACTTGTTGTCATTGAAGAACCAGTCTTCGTGGGTATCTCACTGGCGTTATGAGCCGTTGCCAAAACATTACTTATTCATTTGTTTAAAATGGAATACGCCATTATGATGTGTTGCTAATTTGCATTTAGATACATAATTCAAATTTTCTCGTTGAATTGTTCACATATATAAGATGATATGATCAATTATACCCTGGGGAATGAGATAAGACGCAACCAACAGGACAGACGCGGAATAATTATAAATAAATTATTTTATTTTTACAATGGGTTTAATAATTTAATCGCTGGATATATATATATATATATATATATATATATATATATATATATATATATATATATATATATATACACACACATATGCACACACATATATATATATATATTTGGCAAATTTAAAATCTGGTTCAATGTATATTTAAACCTATATTTTCCTATTATTTGCTTCCTTCTTTCTCTTTACCCACCATGGCTGCCTCTCTCTTTACACTCTCACTGTTTCTATTGCATTTTTAAATTAATCTCTCTCTCTCTCTTCCTTCCTCTCTCTCTTTTTAGCCACTCACACTATCTATTGCGTTTTTTAATTAATCTCTCGCTCATTCTCTCTTTACCCCCCACTGTTTCTATTGCATTTTTAAATTAATCTCTCTCACACACACACTCTTTAATCACTCACACTTTCTATTGCGTTTTTTAAATTAATCTCTCTCGCTCTCTCTTTACCCACTCACTGTTTCTGTTGCGTTTTTAAATTAATTTCTCTCTCTCTCTCTCTTTCTCTTTCTCTCTCTAACTCTCTTTACCCTCTCACACTTTCCATTGCGTTTCTAAATTAATCTCTCTCACACACACACTCTTTAAGCACTAACACTTTTTATTGCGTTTTTAAATTACCCTCCCTCTCTCTTTCTTTCTCTCTTTCTGCGTTATGTTTGCAATTTTTTCTTTCTTTTTTTCTGTCTCTCTTCTTCTTTTCTAGATTTTTGTTTTCTTTTTTTATTCTTCTTATTTTTTTCTTCTTTGTCTTTTCTTTCTCTTTCATGCTATTTGTTTTCTTCGTTTTCACTTTCTGTCTTCTTTTCTCTATTCACCCCTCTTCTTCTGTTGCCTCACCTCTCACTTTATCTGTCATTTTCTCTCTTACTTCCCCTTCTCAAACTATATTAGCTTCCATTTTGTCATGTATAATGGCTCGAAGTGAGAAATCAGAGAGCCGAGTTCGAATTTCAGTCGCTTTCATAACATTCACCTCCGAGCAAATACCCTTGAAAACGATATGAATCCATGAATTCATCTCCTCTTTCCAGCTATGGGTTAAATAGTAGGATCTGGAAAAACATTGTTATTCTCAAATAAATATTCAGTCGCGAATATTACTGTTACAATCAAAAATATATGATGATTTTAAATAACCAACAAGGGGTTGACAAACTGTCAAAAACAAAACAATCAATCTCTTTTCTCAATTCTTTCATTTATTTTTTTTATTTCTTTTAAAATCTTGACTCATTACTTTTATTTTGTTTCGTTGTTTCTCTTCTTTTATTTTTAAAATGCTTTTAATCTTTTTTTCTTTCACCTAAATATCTGTAGATTTTCTTTCTTTTCTTTCTTTCTTTCTTTCTTTCTTTCTTTCTTTTTTTTCTTTCTTTTCTTTCTTTATTTATTTATTTCTTCCGTTTTTTCTTTCGTTCTTTCCTTCTGTCATTTTATTTATTTTTATTTATTTATTTCTATTCGCTCTATTTCTCGCTCTTTCTTTCTTTCTTTCTTTCTTTCTTTCTTTCTTTCTTTCTTTCTTTCTTTCACTCTTTCTTTCTATCGCTCTTTCTTTATTTCTTTCGCTTTTTCTTTCGCTCTTTCTTTTCATTCGCTCTTTCTTTCGCTTTTTCTTTCACTCTATCGCTCACTCTTTCTTTCTTTCTTTCTTTTTTTCTATCGCTCTTTCTTTATTTTTTTCGCTTTTCTTTCGCTCTTTCTTTTTTTCGCTCTTTCTTTCGCTTTTTCTTTCGCTCTTTCGCTCCCTCTTTCACTTGCTCTTTATTTCTTTCGCTCTTTATTTCTTTAGTTCTTTCTTTCGCTCTTTCTTTCGCATTTTCTCTTACTCTCTCTCTCTCTCTATCTATCTCTCTCTCTCTCTCTCTTTCCTGTAGGTCTTTTCAGATCTTGTTCTCCACATTCTTTTTTTTTTCGCCTCATATTTCTCTTTCTCACCTTTTCTCTATCTTTCGCCATTAATGGTTTGTTATTTATTGTAACTATTTTCGATTTTCATTTAGATATCTTATTTCTTCTTGCCTTTTACTTCCTTTTTCGTTTTATTTTACTTTCTTTTTCGTTCTCTGTTTCTTCATTTACCAACTTTCTTTTCAATTTCCTTCTTTTCTATTCTGTTCATCTATCTCTTTTTTTACCCCGTATTCTTGTCAATTCTCTTCGTTATTTACTCACTCTTTTTTACCTTTTCTTTTTCATTACTTTATATTTCCTTTTTTAGTCTTTCTTTTTTATCTATCACTTTCTTAAGTTTTCTTTCTTTTTTTTTCTTTTTGTTTTCTTGTTCTCTTCATCGGTTGACTTTTTATTTCTACTTGTTCATTTTCTTTCAAATGTTTCCCCAAAATCTTTCTTTCTTTTTTGATTTTCGTTTACCTCTTTCTTCTGTATTTCATTCATTTTCTTTCTTGTTCAGTTATTTTTTTTTCTTTATTTCCTCCTCTATGCGTTCCTATTCTTTTATTCTCTGCGTGGTTTTTAGTCCGCCATTTTCTTGCTTCAGCTTCCTCGATTTTTTTCATTTACCCATTTATCCCCTCTCCGCCTTTGCCCCTCAAAGTCTATCTCTGACCCTAGTGAGAACTTTTAACAAACACTAACTAAATGTCTTAGCCGCCCCTAATGCGTCCAAAAACTGATTGTGGCCAACACTGTTATAAGCTAATTGAATTTCAAATTTTTAATTTAACACTCCTCAGATGTTCAACCCCAGTGGGGTTTTTAGTTGCACCATCTACGCATGCGTAAATGAAGGGATGTTGTTTAGAAAATAACAATGTCGTCAGGAAAATCACGACTTCCTGTAGAAGATTGAAGAGGAAAACGGCTGATAATTAGAACGGAATTTATAAAAATTAGGTGAATTATAAATAGGATATGTTGCTTACGCTTGAGGTAGGCGTGTGAATTTAGCTGATTCGGAGAAATATTTCATAAAATGTACGGATTTAGTTCACATGAAAATCTTAAATTCAAATGACTAGAACTTTGTAAATTTATGTGTGATTTAATTTCTATAAAATATATATACAGTAGAATCCCTCATAACCGGAATCCCTCATATCCGGAGTGCCTCATATCCGGAATCCCGCATATCCGGACATGATTCTGATGTGTATATTTGAAGTATTTGGGTGATATATAACAGATTTGAATTTTTTGTTTTTTAGGAAATTTACTTTAGATATTTGCTTATGCTTATTTCACCCTAATGGCTTGTATTGGTGCAAAAGATGGTGGGAAGAATAGGAATAGCCAAAGAAAAATTTGGAGTTATCAAAAAAACTGGAAATTTTAAACGGACTAGACGCTGGTGAAAGTTCATTGTAACTAATGGCTGAGTGATATAAAATCTTCCAAAGAAACTATTCTCCAGCGTTCACACTGTCACAATGAACAAGGAAATAGGAACATAATTGTGATGAAACCTGGAGTGAAATTGAAGTTTATCAGTTTTATGGAAAGAAAGCCAGCATTCAGATATGACGATTGCAATAATGCACGCAGAGTTAAAAAGTGTATTTCGTTTAAAAAAATTCAAGAACAAAATCAAAACGAAATGCAGAAAAAGTTGAGAACGACATTAGAAGAGAAAGAATCATCATGCAACAGCGATTAAAAAAATCCTCATTACATTAATTGTTTTGCATACGTGGCATACTTAATTTAATGAATTTTCATTAACATGACATAATTTATTTCTTTTTCCTTAAAATCAATTCCGTTATATTTCACTCACCATTAGCTTATTTTGTTTACTATAAAACATTGAAAATAAATGTTAAACCAGATTTCAGTTCTTTTATTTTAATTAAAATATAACCACCTAATATCCGGACTTTGTAATTAATTCCTCATATCCGGAAGGCTTTCTTAGTCCGGTTGTCATGGATTCTACTGTATAAAGAAAAATCAGCAATCAGCTTGTTTGTTTTCGTGTCCCTCATATCCGGAATCCCTCACATCCGGAATCCCTCATATCCGTAATCCCTCATATCCGGAGTCCGTAACCAATTCCTCATATCCGTAATGCTTTCTTAGTCCGGTTGTCAGGGATTCTACTATATATATTTTACTATTGTTTATCCAATACAACGCCCAAGTGCCACTCTAGGTAGAGGATAAGGTTGTTAAAAGGGCGTACAGGGACGGAAGAAGATGTGCATATTATGAGGATAAGTAGGATAGATAACGGTTGACTATAGTCATTGTAGTGACTGAGGAAGCATTCTCTCGGGAGTCCGTTCCACAATGCAGGAGTTCTGAAGAGGAAGCTGCCTGAGTGTAATTCCTCTTTACGAACAGAATATGAAGTGAATTAGAAAGGTTTTTTACTCAGTTTATTCTTTATTGATATGTAGGCAAAGTCACCTTCTTTGCCAACTTTCCGTCTCAATTTAATATAACAAAATAATGTATAATTATATAAATAATTATATAATATATAATTACATAAAATTATATAATTATCAGTTTAATACATAATACCTACATAATTTCGAAATTTTCAAATATAATGGAGATGTGTGCAATTAAACAAAATTATTATATTTTTTTAATTCTTCAAAGTATAAATAATTAAGATACATTTTTGTAAAATGCTTACAATTTCTTTGCCTACGAATTCTCTGTTGACCATTGGAAATGCTATGTAGACCACCAGTGGTACACCTGGACCACGTTGAAAATTACTGCCTGTCCAAATAGTGTTCTCTTTACTTTTTCCAGTCTATTATAAATTGGGCCTCTTATTGACCAGAGGACATGTCGAGAAGACATTCTCCAATATCTAGTCGACAAATTTAAATGAGAATGTAAAATACAAAGAGATCAAACGATTTTCCAAGCTCGAACCAGTACCTTTCCCCAGACTCGAACCTGTGCCATTTTCTAGACTAGCATCATTATCATTTTCGAGATGGCTCTTTCTGCTTTGCTGGCCCTTTCTTCGATTGTCAGTACCAGTGGAACCAAGGAATGAAGTAAGTCTGAACATCTGCCATTAAAATACTGATAGAACAGCGAGAAGCTATCTACATTTCGTCTACGGAAAAAGGATTGTAGGGAAAAAACTTTTCATCACCCACAAAGCTATGAAAGCACTTTTGAACTCTGTTTAGGCTGTGAATGATATGGCAGTGATACTCCGTTTTGGGTCGGACCTGGATCGTGTAAAGATAGAACTTGGCAAAAGAAACCAGGTATTTTCTTAAGCTGACTAAGCAAGGGTGGGTGGTGTCAAGAATAGTATGAAAAATCGGAGAGCCGTTCGAATTCCACTCGAGTATGTTACATTCTCTTATGCGCTAATAGACTAGGGAAAAGCTATGAATATATCTCCTCTTCCTCCAATTATGAGGTAAACAGAGCAACCTTGCTTCTCGAACATCTCACATGTCAAACAAATTTGTTTTCGAACGGAAAATTCAAGATGAAAATGCCTCGGTTATCGAACAAAATTTCGGTTTTCGAACAACATTGCCGAACCGATCCGAACAAAACCGAGTTAACCCGAACAGAATCATTTCTGAGTCGACCGTCTGGTTATATACATTCGTGTCTTGTGCTGTGTTTTTCTTTTCCAATTTTATTGTACTGTGGATTTTTTTCTCTTCAATACTCTCCAGTCATGGCTCCAAAGAAAAACAAAACTTACGAGAAAAATAATTATTGACGATATTCTCTCTTCCTACTCAGTTTCATATGGCAAAAGCAACGATCTATACTATTCTTATAAATAAAGAGACGATCATGACTTTCCTTCCTCTTTTCCAAACAATGACATCTCTTTCCTTCCCCTTCAACGTACGCCATCAACTCTCCTATTTACAGGTACGGTAAAATTGAAGTGTTTTACTGTTTAGTATTGGGTTTATTTATTTTTTCTTATATTTAATAGTTTTCATTAGTTTTGTGTATAAACTTGTGAAAAAAGTTGTAACAATTTAAATAAGCAATCATATTGGCACCAGGAACGAATTAATCCTTTTACATTGCTTCCTACTGGAAAAAATAGTTTCGGACGACGAACATTTCTGGTTACAAACGGGCTTCAGGAACGAATTAAATTCGTGAGCCGAGATTACACTCTATTCGTATTTGGAAAAAATGTATTAATGCAATATTCACTCGCAAAAAAAAAATAATAATCTTACAATCCAAAATATGTTTCGGGTTTAGAAAACGATCCACAAAGTGTTGAAAAAACATAGAAAAAACAATCAATCAAAACTGGTGCGTTTCAAATAGACGAATATGTTTCCAGCATTTTCAACGCTTGATTATGTCTACACGTTCCACTATAAAGACTGGTATCAATCCTTTTAGGGGATTCTAGCGTTAGTTAAATTGTATTTTAAGGACAAATATCAATCTTTAGACTTTTTATTTGTTTATTTGCCAAACTTGATCTAGTTATTGTTTAAGATTTGGTAGACGTGGTGTTTTTAACTCTGTATGTGATTTTCTCGGGATAAACGTCTTTGCCTTTGATGACTTTTTTTTTTCTTCAAAACTATTTTGCCGTGTATGGCCTCCAGCTCATAAAAGACACCGATGGTGGCCCTAAAGTTAAACAGAAAAATCTCTGCGGGAAAGACAAACAAAAAAGATTAAGAAAATTAACTGTAATAAAATCATATACGATGTTTGGTCTATTCTTGTATAAGTCCAAAATAGTATTTTTTTTTAATTATTTCACCCCAAGAAAGGTTAGAAAGCCAACGACCTAAAGGATTAAGACGATTTCGTTGATCAGTCTTTACATCAATTGATGTACTCTGTCTATCTTGAGAATCAATATTCGAAATATGAATTTTACCTAGACACGAATATTACCATTAGTGTCAGTATTAAATACTGTGTTATTATGGTTTCGTCGATGTTCAATTACAAATACAGAGAAAGAAGTGATCTATCTGAAGAGAACATAGCCGTTATAGCATTCTCCATCTGTTGACATTCGATATTCTAGATGAAGTTATTAACTGCATACCAAAACAAAAAAAAAATCTCTCGAAAATGATAATGATGCTAGTCTAGAAAATGGCACAGGTTCGAGTCTGGGAAAAGGTACTGGTTCGAGGTTGGAGTTTGATCTCTTTGTATTTTACATTCTCATTTAAATTTGTCGACTAGATATTGGAGAATGTCTTCTCGACATGTCCTCTGGTCAATAAGAGGCCCAATTTATAATAGACTGGAAAAAGTAAAGAGAACACTGTTTGGACAGGCAGTACTTTTCAACGTGGTCCAGGTGTACCACTGGTGGTTTACATAGCATTTCCAGTGCTCCACAGAGAATTTGTAGGCAAATAAATTGTAGACATACAAAAATGTATCTTAATTATTCATACATTGAAGAATTAAAAAAATATAATTTTGTTTAATTGCATACATGTCCATTATATTTGAAAATTTCGAAATTACGTAGATATTATGTATTAAAGTGATAATTATATAATTTTATGTAATTATATATTATACAAAGCCCGACAATTATTTTTAAGACATTTTTATGTTTATACATTCTTTTTATAGATACAAATATTTAAGTAACTGCTCTGTTTATAATAAA